TGCTCTCAACTTTCAATTCAGAAGGATATTACAGTACTTCAGATGTGCTTCAAATGCAAGATCTAGCGAGTTATGAAGAACTTGTGTCCCGGAAATTCCCAGAAAAGCCGCAATTGTTGGGAGGGTTGCTGCACAAGATGCAACAGCCAGGCAATGTAGAGTATATGTGGGGTGTCATGCATACAAGATATAATTGTTCTAGCAGGTGTGTCGAGTACATGGGCAGGTGGAGCAGTCTCTAGTACCTCCCGTTCAAATGTGAAGGGGAATGGTTCGATCTTCTTCCGATCCATAACCATTTTCGAAAAAGAGAACTAGCCAGGTCGAAAAATTGTCGAAGTGAAGTAAGACTTCCGTCTGCATCTTCCTTGGAGCATCTATTAGTAGTAATGCGCTTACAACTGGCAGTAGTAGGAATCATCCTTGCGGTCCCCTTTCACTTTGAGAAACATAATATTTTATTCGATTTACAATGAAAAATCCCCTCACCGGTATGTGTTCGCATATGAATTTGCAAAGCTGAGCTGCTGCTGAAATGCTTGAAACACACGCCGCACTGGTGCTTTGACAGGACTGGCGCTTGCCGCGGTGGTGGCGGTTCCGTTTCGGCCCACATTTTCTGCATTGCGTCGAGCGGGTTTGGCGTCGAATCTGTCACCGATGTGGACGACGATGCTGACGATGATGATTGCTTCTCATCACCATTTCCACTGCCGTGTCGGTGTTGCTGTTGGAAGTGTTCGTCATTCTCGGATTCTAGTGCTCTTGCCGTTTCTGTTGCTGTTGCCCTGTATCGGCGATGCTCACTCGCATCCAAACTGAAACAATCAGGCAACAATAGTGAACATTTCACGCTCATCTTAGCTCTAACAGAGAGATCTGCGCAGATTTGTTCACTTGCTTATGATAAAAATTTAGTAAACGGCATCATTACAGCGTAACCTCCTGTGATTTGAGATGTGGGATGGTAGGTTACTTCCAGGGCAAAACATCTTGTATAGACAGATGCAAAGCATGAGGTGAACACAACAGAGCGCAAGGCAGTTTCACAGTAGGTGCAGTCTGACCAAGGAAACAGTAAACTTAAAGATATCGCTGAATGCTGAAAAACGCCTAGGTGTGCAACTAGGAGCAATTACTAAAACTCGGCTCGGCTGGTGTCTTACACGATCAGCCAAAAATTTTTTGTATGGAGG